CACTGCCTTCTAGCTTATGCCATCAGTCACACCTCCAGAAATTGGATGTACAATGCTCCTACTCTGGGTAGTATTTTATATCCACTTAGCACAGAGGTAAGTGTTCCGTGAAGTGCAAGGCAGTAAAGAATTCGGATAACAGTGTGTAGCAAAGAGGAGCACATAGGATAGTCAGTTTTATAGATGATTGAATCCTAAAGTAGAAAAAATCTAAGGGAAGAACAAAAGCTTTGATGAAACCCTGGAAGAAAGGCAGAGGGAAACACTTCGCATTTGGGCATACCAGGGAAGTGTGTTCAACATGATTCTCAGATTACCAAAAGGTTATAGTTGTACATTTGTATGTGAAGAGCTATGAATTGTATTAATTAGCAACCAATCTGGCATTCTCCAGAGAAAGCAAGGAGTAAATGGCTGTAGACTCCCAAATTCTTGGTAACATTCTGCCCTCTTTGCATTCTTTCTATGGCATAAAGGAGCCATAAGCAACCAGAATGCTCCAGTTAAGTTTTTCCCTGATACCAGTTCCACTGAAATTACTTTATGCCAACCCTCCTCACAACCACCAGCATAAGGATATGATAGTGGTAGGCCCAGCCCAGGTATGTTGGAGATGGGAGTGGGTGTGGCTATAGTGCTCTTTGCTTAGACTATTCTGGGCTGAAGGCATCTGTGAAAAATTGTTATAAAGTATCTTTAAAACGGGACTATGTTGGCCTAGACTTCAGAAGTGCAAAGACAGTGAAAAATACCATTACCAAACTCCTCTCAGTCTTCTCTTTTCCAAACATGCAAACCCAATTCTTTCAATCTTCCCTCAGAGGTCATGTTTTTTAGACCTTTAATCATTTTAGTTGTTCTTCTCTGGACCTTCTCCAATGTATCCACATCTTTCCTGAAATGTGGCACCCAGAACTGGACACAGCACTGTAATTGAGGCCTCATCAGTGCAGAGTGCAAGAATTATTCTTGTTAACACTCCTGGTAACACATCCCAGAATGATGTTTATTTTTTTCCAACAATGTATGAAACGGATTGTTCTTCCTAAGTAGAATACTTTACATTTGTCCTTATTAAATTTCATCCTATTTACCTCAGACCATTTCTTCATTTTGTCTTGATCATTTTGAATTAAAATCCTATCCTCCAAAGCCCTTTCAATCCCTCCCAGTTTGGTATCATCTGCAAACTTTATAAGCATAATCTCTATGCCAATATCTACATCATTGAGAAGATACTGAACAGAACCGGTCCCAAAACTGATCCCTGTGGAACCTCACTTGTTATGCCCTTCCAGCATGATTGTGAACTACTTTCTGGGATAACTACTCTCTGGGAATGGTTATCCAACCAGTTATACCGTTATCCAACCACTTTATAGTAGACCCATCTAGGTTGTATTTCCTTAGTTTACTAATGAGAAGGTCATGTAAAACTGTATCAAATGCTTTACTAAAGTCTTGGAATACCAGATCTACCACTTCCTCCTGATCCACAAGGCTTGTTATGCTATCAAAGAAAGCTACAATGTTAGACATGATTTGTTCTTTACAAATCCATGCTGGCTGTTACCTATCACCTTATTTTCTTCCAGATGTTTGCAAATAGATTCCTTAATTATTTAATCCATTCATCTTTCTTTACACAGAAGTTAAGCTGATTGAGTCTGTAGTTTCCTGTGTTGTTCTTATTTCCTTCTTTATAGATGGGCACAATATTTGCCTTTTTCCAGTCTTCAGGAATCTCCCATCTTCCTTGACTTTTCAAAGATGCTAGTTAATGGCTTAGACATCTTTGGTATCAGATCTTTGAGTATGCTAGGATGCATATCATCAGGTGCTGGTGACTTGAAGACATCTAACTTTTCTAGGTAGTTTTAACTTGATCTTTACCTATTTTAACTTCTGAACCTACCTCATTTTTTTTCAGCATTCACTGTGTTAGGTGCCTAATCCCCACCAACCTTCTTGATGAAAACAAAGAAATCATTAAGCACCTCTGCCATTAAGTACATTTTCTGTTATTGTTTTCCCCTCTTCATTGAGTATTAGACCTACCCTGTTCTTGGTCTCTCTCTCTCGCATCTAATATATTTGTAGAATGTTTTCTTGTTACCCTCTCTGTCTCTAGCTAGTTTGAGCTCGTTTTGTGCCTTTGCCATTCTAATTTTACTCCTACATACTTGTATTAATTGTCTTAATACACACTTGTATTATTTATATTAATCTTTTGTAATTTGACCTAGTTTTCTCATTTTGTAGAACTTCTTTATTTTTAGATCATTCAGTTAAGCCAGGTTAACCGCTGCACAGAATCCAGCACAAAGAGCTGAACTCCACTTCTCCGAAAGCAGGAGGATGAGGGAGGGAAAATAATTGACTAGCATATAAAAGGGGAGGAAACTTTAAGTATGAGGGAATCTCAACTATTTACTGACCCTCCCCAAAGCCTCAAGCCAGCCCTGTGCATATTAATTTGTATTATGACAGTGGATGGAGGTCAATTATATTTGCAGGGAGGAAGTATCTGAAACTATTTCACAGGCCCACTCAAAACCTCCAAAGCCAGCTTTGGGTGTCTCAAAGGCAGCAGTGAGGGGACAGTGTGCTACAGCTGAATGTGTTAGCTATGCCCTTCATTAGGATGCAGAACAAATCTCGTTCTCCTGGCAAACAGGACTGAGAAACAGAAGAAAAATGGAAATCGGATCTGAGCAATGAATTCCCCATTCAGGATAAGATCCCTGCATTTCCTCAAGAACTCAAGTTTGCTTGGTTTTGTTTAAAACAAAGGTAACAGGAAATTTCAGCACAGAAAGAGGTCAGAGTCCCTTGCTTGTGGGGCCAGCAGGCCCTGGGAGAGCTACTGAGGCAGAACACTCAGTCCTCAAAGGGGAAGAGTGGGGGAGGGAGCACCTCACTCTTGCTCTCAAGTAAGGCTGCCATCTTTCTCCAGTTTGTCCTGGGAGGACTCTATAGGTGCGTCTATCCAGCCCCATAAACTCGAAATAAGATACGCAATTTGCACTATGCAAATTGCATAACTTATTTCAAGTCTATTTTGAAATATAGTGCTATTTCAGCCATCCCTTACTCTTCGTACAACGAGGTTTATGAGGACTGCAAAATAGCGCATCTGCTATATTTTGGAATAGCGGACACATTCAAAAGATGCAGGGTAGCTATTTCAGTATACCTCTGGAATCCCAAAATAATTCTGATGTATAGACGTACCCTAGGATTCAGTCTCCATGTGATTCTTGAAACTACAACTCTGTTGGGAAATTACTTGACTCCATTTTAATGTATTACTGCCTTCGATTTGTTTTTCCAGTTTGTCCCTTTGCTCTGAAAAAATAATGAAACTTAGTTTTCTGCCTTTTTTCCCCCATTTACTTTCTTGGCAAATGTTTAGGATGCATTTTGGCAGCAATAAAGGAAAGATCTTTTAAAATGTTCCTCAGAAGCCAGTTTGAACAGAGACTTTGTCACGATGCTTTCCCACTAAAATGTTTGGAATTCATGCCTGGGAAAAAATATCAAGCCTTCTGTATGTGATAGAAAGGGTGTGAGGTATATGCTGTAAAAATGTTCCACAGAAGCCAAAAGGCTACATGCTGCATCAGATATAAAATTCCCAGGATGTCATCCAACGGCATTGTTCCTGCTTAAATCAAGTTAAAGGATACACGTTGTGTTAAAAGTCATTTTATACGTATATTTTAAATTTCTCCTTCCCTGAACTCTATTACTAATCACCAGTTGGATTGCTAAAACCGAAATGGATGTTTGAATCTCTGTTTTTGCCATTTATTCGGTTTGATCTGTGCATTTCCCTTTGAAACTAGACAAGTTGACGCCATGTTAATGTACAATTGGTTTCACTTTTTTGCCTCTGACTCGGGAGTTTTGTGATAGAAATGGAACTGTGAAAATCGTATTGTTCTTCACCTTCACTTACAGCCAGGGACAGAAAAGACCAATGCCATTGCAGTGATGCAACTCCACTCCAGTTGCCACACCCAGGGATGAACTTGGCCCCGAGGAATTTTATGAAATCTACGCCATGATCAAAGGTGTGAAATAATGTAAGGACAGGGTTATAATGGCTAACGCAGACCTAGTATGAAAATCTTGATGGGCAAACACGGCATCATGAGCTTTTATTTGGAGTAGTTTTCAGCAATACCATTGCAAGCTGTTTCTTTCAATCATGAGCCAGATACCCCCAGAGTTAAATTATGAATCAAATACCGGGAATTCCATCAGGCCTACTGGCTTGAGATATTGTGATGCAGATGACACAGCCATTATCTTAACATATATTGCATTATTCCTATTCCTCCTCAGCCTCAGATTCTTCATTAGACAGAATAACTTAATCAGGCATCAAGCATAAAAATGCAAAAACAGATATTAGACTTGATTTCACCTCAATCCGGTTATTTTACTATGTGCGTGGCATGGTAAAAACAAATAAATAAAGACCTAGAAATGGGACCATCTATCTGTACAGGATCAGAAGCTACCATTTGTTTGATCTGCTCTGCACTTGATCCCTGTGTCAGTGGTGACTACTATTGCTCGACCTTATTGTTGCCTATAAGGGTAGGCGGATTATCTCTGCCCAAAAGGTTGTCCTTTATTAAAGCAATAGCATCAAACCTGGGGCACTATTGAAATAGGTGATGGTAGAAGAGAGGAACCCTGCTGTAGTATAGAAAGTGGCTGAATGCACGTCTCTCATAGTAAGCACACTTCTTTATACGTCTCCCTATGTATTTATTCAACACAAATTATTTTCCAAATACCCTCTTTTATGATGCACATAAATGGCCTTGCAGTCATCAATGGCCTTTAAAGGAGCCATGGGGTGCTCACTGTATCCTCCATTATTCTAATCAACCTACACATAAATGTTACCAGTTGGCTGAGTTCATGACAGCATAGGAGTTTTGATCACACACAAACGTAAATACACGCACAATGCCTGTACTCACAGCTTTCACAGTGATTCCCGGTATAGCCTGCTAGACAAGCACATCTGTAGGCACCAGCTTTATCAAGGATACATGTTCCATCATGAAAACATGGAGATGAAGAGCAAGCTGCAAAAGGAGAGGCAAGAATATTCACAATCTTTCATCTGATTCTGAGCTAGTTGACTATGGTTTTCCATAGCACTCATCGCAGCAATTTCCAAAGGCCTTCCAGGTAAATTAAATATGTAGGATGAAGTACTCATTGGGATCAAGGAGTTTTCCAATCCTCTCCCTTCCCTGCTACAAGGGAGATCTTGGGATGTGCAACATTTTATTGGTGGTTGTTTTCCCTTTTTTCTTCTTCCCTCTTGGCCCTCACCCATCTATCACTTATTTCTAGTTACAGAGGGTTTACCCAAGGGGTTACAATACTTCACCCTGGGCTTTGTGAACTATATTGTCCTAAAGGAGCACAGCTATTTTCTTGGGGCATGGATGTAAATGCAATGACTGATGTTCCTGTGTCCTCCTGACCCCTATTATGAGTTTTTAAATCAGGCTTAGGGTTGTCCTTGAACTGTTAAAGGAAGCAGGCAGGGAACCAGCAGATTGGCACAGCTCCTGGCACAACTACCCAGCTGCAATTACAGAAGTGGCACATAGAGATCAGAAATTTTTAAGGATAAATGGGTATCTCGGTGCATTGCTAATTATTTGCACGTGCACCAGCCTTACTTACATGGGCAAAGGCCTCTGTTCTGCACACACTTTTGAGCACCATGCCTGGTTCCCCCCTTTTAAAAATGGTCCCTTATAGATAAAATAAATACATTCTAGAACAAATTGCTTAAAGCAGCTCCTCCTTCACCTCATTGCATAGATCTGAGTTTAGACCCTCCACATTCTGTACTTCCTCTATTATACCAGATGAAAACCACTAGTTCCTACTGGGATGCAACACAAGCACCATTTCAAGTGTTAGTGACCTCAACTGTTCTGGAAGAAAATCAACCTGAACTCACATCTTACTAGGCACAAATCATAGAATTTAGATCCAGATCAAATAGGAACATTTCTAAAGACTGTGAAGTTTTGGATCTGATGTTCTGGTACAGATCCATCTTAACAAGTTAGGCTAGAGCTGTAAAGGTCATATCTAGATTCAAATTGAACAGTTAACCCTATTTTGCCATAAAATTCTCTTGCCACTTTTAGGAGACTTTCTAAAGGTTCCTCATAACTTATTTATTGAACTTCTAGTCCATCATTGCCACAAAAGTATAAATTGAGTAAATTCTAATTCACTTAAAAGTCACAGTTGCCTATCAATAATATATTGATTGCCACTTAAACATAAGAGAGGAATGAATTCTACCACTAAACTTTGCTGGTGGTGCAAAGCAGGGTCAGTGGTTCCCAAACTCCCCCTCCCTCCTTAACCACAAGATCAATGCAAACAATCCATTTTAGAGATTAAAATTCTCTCTTTGATGAAACCCAAAATGACACACGTCAAATCAGCTGATACTTTTGCAAAGTTTTAACTGAAACAGGCTTTTCAAGTCTCTTTGACCCAGCTTGGTGAAAGAAAAATGGAACTCCACTCATAACATCAAAATGAGATTTCTGACACAGATTTCATGCAGAGATGTATAGCTATGCGTATTTAGGTTGGGTAGTGAAAGCCACACCAAAAACCTTGCACAAACTCTTTAAAGATGGATATGAGGATTTCAGAATGTGACTGAGGAGGATAACAATTTCTGGAAAAGCTTACAAATTGTCATTTGGTTGTTTCCTGCTGTTCTAAAATATTTAAAATAAAAGAGAGAGAGAAATTTCTGAGGAGCCAGTGAAGCACTGATATTTTGCATCCAACAGGCCATGTATTCCTCTCAGTTGAAATCAATGAAGTAGAACCAATGGTACTTTTATTTACAGCTAGGGCTCTACCAAATTCACACCCATGAAAAATGCATCTCAGACCGTGAAATCTGGGTTTTTTGTGTGCTTTTACCCTATACTGTACTGATTTCATGGGAAAGACCAGCATTTCTTGTATTGGGGGTCCTGACCCAAAAAAGAGTTGCAGGAGGAGTCAGTTATTTTAGTGGACCTGTGGTATTGCCACCCTTACTTCAGCACTGCCTTCAGAGCTGGGTGGCTGGAGAGCAGCAGCTGTTAGCTGAGCACCTAGCTCTGAAGACAGTGGCCCACCAGCAGTGGCACAGAAATAAGAGTGGCATTACTGTACCAGGTCACCCTTACTCCTTCACTGGTGCTGGCAGTAGCTCTGCCTTCAGAGCTGGGCTCTTGCCAGGAGCCACTGCTTTCCAGCTGCCAAGCTCTAAAGACAGCCCACCTCCTGCAGCAGTACAGAAGTAGCAATAGAGATATCACAACAGGCCTCTTACCATAACCTTTCAAAAAAAACCACATACATACATACACACAGAAGTCCAGGACCCCTACAGTAACAACAACATGAAATTTCAGGTAACTAGCTGAAATCATGAAATTTACTATTTTAAAAATCCTATGACCATGAAATTGGACAAAACGGGCCACAAATTTGTTAGTGCCCTATTTATAGCTTCTGTCTTGAGAGCACACTGCACTATTTGTCTGCCAGTTTATTCTGTAAAGCCAATTGTGTCAAATGAATGAGCATGGATGTGTGTTACTGTGGTACTGGTGTAACACAAAGAAAAGCTGATGAAAATGGATCTTTATTCCCTGGCTTCATTCATATGACATAGAACACAGTTACAAAAGCTTCCACAGGGGATCAATATCCACTGACTCTATTCGTTACTGGTCACTGCAGTGGTTCTCGTTAAACCAGACCCAGCATGTTTTTAATCTGTCATGGCGCACTGTATTCTTTAAAAGTCTAAAACACAAAACTCACCAGAACACCCACACAGTGACTTGGCCATCCAATTCTGCTCATAATTGTCCGTTCTTGTGTTCTGTTTTCATCTGAAAAATTATCACTCCTTTCTGGCTGCATAGAAAGCCATTAAGGCAGCATCTATTAAGCCTGCAGTACAGACAAACCTATGGATCAAATCTGAGTCTCATTGGAGTCAAGGGGAATTATTCTCTGCTGGACTAGGATTTAGCCCTGTCTCTGCAGTGGGGTGAGTACTGTGTAAGTATCTATAACTACCTTGGGGAGCTGGAGGGGTTTTTTACAATAATGTTTGCAAAAGAAGTCTTCTGCTTTCTAGCTACGTTTTGTTTCAACAGAACTTACCCAACCAACTCACGTAACTAGGGGTATGTCTACACTTGTATCCTAGTTCAAACTAGGGATGCAAATGCAGGCATTTGAAATAGTCAATGAAATGGGGATTTAAATATCCCACACTTCATTAGCATGATCTCACCGGCGCTTTACTCCGCTCAACAGGTGTTTCAAAACTGAAAGTGCATGCTGGGACGCGTTAGTTCGAACCAAACCCCTTGGTTCGAACTAACGTTACGCCTCAAAAAATGAGGGCGTTTGGTTTGAACTAACGCGTCCCGGCATGCACTTTCACTTTTGAAACACCTGATGAGCGGAGTAACGCGCCGTGAGATGATGCTAATGAAGTGCGGGATATTTAAATCCCCGCTTCATTGACTATTTCGAATGCCTGCATTTGGATCCCTAGTTCGAACTAGGGTGCAAGGGTAGACATACCTTAGGATATTCCCAGAGCCTGTCTATTTCTAGGGAGCTATATTCTGCCAAGCCCACCTCACTTGTCTTTATTATAAATTTGAAGACTAGTTAGCTCCTCTCCCTATGGGATTTTGTATTTACATTAATAATGTTTCATGGGTAATTGTTGCCAGCAAATCAGCTGGGAATCCCCTCACCTTCCACAAGGGAATTTTAAAGGAGTGCAACCCCACAATGTAGCGGGGGGGGGAGGAAGGGGGAAATTATCTTGCTCACTTTATTTCAGTCTTCCTCCCTCCCTCCCTCTGCCTTTAATGTCTGAGGTCAGCTTAGTGACTTCTGGCCAGTGTCACTCATGACTAGATTACTCTTTATCCCTGACACAGTATCCGTTGCTGCACTCGAGTGGTTAACACCTGCTTCCACTACCAACAGTGTAGCTGATTAAGCTGCTTCTTTTATTAACTAGCTGCCCACTGGTCTTTCTTCTAGGGACTTTTTGCATTTGATTTAGCATTTACCTAAGTTCCTCTGGCCATTTGGTCTGGGTACTTCCCCTTCTGCCATCAGTGTCATCATTTGCCCAAAAGCATGACTTCTGAGCCAAGTTCTGCAAAAACTATCCCATGGAGGGTCCCCAGCCTAAAGGTGAGCCAAGCACAAAGTGCTCCACAAGGGTGGACACACATAAATGAAAAACCTCTGCTCTTACTACCAAAGGCAGCGAGTTATATGGGCCCATGGTGCCCGTGCTCCACCAATATTTAGGAACGTGGCCCCAGCTCCACCAACAGGACAACCATCCTGTCCATTAGAAGGACTGGTGCAACTGCACCAAGCCCTGTACTTCAGTGGGATCCAAGGTCCAGAGCAGCCTGCGGTGCCAGCAGGGGGTGTGGCACAGGCAGAAGCGAGTGATCCAGCCCCAGACTGCCCCACCCAGCCTCTTCCTGCTCATGCTCTGCCCCCACCCTCACTCACAAGTCCTTGCTCCCACCCTGCCTCTTTCCAGCTTCCATACCCTCCCCCAAAGGATGGGGCAGGGCAGAGGAGGGGCAGAGCAGAGCAAGGCGAGCTGAGGCTGGTTAGCTCACTGCTGCCAGCATCAGGCCCCTTGTTAGTTCCACCCCACCCCCAGCCACTCTGGTCTCTACCTCCCGCTGACGTATCCTAGGCACTACCAAAAATTACACAACCCTGCTGCGCATGCTCACGGCGTGATCCACTGTTCCTAGGTTCTTCACGCCATTGCTAAGATACGACAAATACTATGACATCCCTTTAGGCCTCTGCTCCCTTGTGGAGTGTGTTTACCTGATTCTTTTCTCAGCAGTAAAGCAGGTGAGTGACCTAGCGAGCCCTGTGCAGCCTATTACATGAATGTCAGCTACCCCTGGGGCTTTGCATTGAGAAGGATTTCAGACGACTGAATGCTGAAGCTTGCTGTATGTTGCCAGAGCTTTCAGTCCCTCAGCTCACCCCACGCACATTGTATTCTTCCCCAGAAACACTGCTGCTGGCCAGGTTCACGCTACACATAAAGAGACACAGTGAGTGTTTCAAAAGCTTTTCATCAGGCTAGGACAGATTCATAATAAGGTGCACAATGAAGCCTCCTGACAAACTGTCGCCCCTTTGCATCATGCTCTGCACGGATTCCCATGCTAGCAACCACCCAGTCTCAAATAAATACCATTAATAGTGGGTGGAAATAAAATGCCGAGCAGTGCTAGAATACTAAAAAGTGCATGCTGAGCAGAGAAAATGCAATCAATTCATTCTACTCCTTATCAAAAATGTTAGGCCTAGGAGTGTGGGCAGTCTATGCAACATACCCCAGGCTAGGTTTCATTTGATGGAGGCAACTTTTGTTTTCCATCAGCCCTGTCATTAGCACAGTGCTAGCTCTCCTTGTCTAACTGTTCCTGCTGTGATTGTGATTGGATTATAGGGAACAGCAAGTAGATATGTGACTGCACTAAATACAGGAGCGGGGCAACAGATCGGCCCTTGTGTGTGCACGTTTCAGACTGTTCACTGCATGCTGGTTACTAGTAACAGCTGAGCCCCTCTAGGTTTGTAGCTCAGATGTGGTTTGGCTACAGAGATTACATGCACTGACTGACCTTTTGGAACCAGATTTACAGCTCATGTGACCCCATTAAATCTGGGACACTAATGTGTGTCTGGAGTCTCATAAGCCTTACTTCAGGGAGCAGCTGGGAAATCCTAATGTTAGCAGTTATTAATCCTGTGGGATTTTCCTATGGCAAACTACCACACACTGTGCAGCCTAGTCTGCTAAGAACTCCATGGGCAGGTGTTATCGATTTGCCCCATACAAGAAAGGCCCAAGGCCTGTAGCCCACTGCAGATCAGAATGCAAAGCAGGAGCTACCAGCTTTCCCAGAGTTCTTCAGCAGGCAGGCAGAAGGGAATAATGCAGAGTGTAAATGAGATCTGACTCAAACCTAATATTTTTAATAAATAGATTGGAATTTTGGAACCTACCTTTTTCATTAAAAACATTTAGCATATGATATTCACTGAAAGAGAGAAATTTGGGGGGGTTATTCTTTGTATATGGGAAGAGCCTTCCATAGCTGCTCTGTAAAAAAACAACTGGAGGATAAAAACACAGCTGATCTGAAATGTGAAGCAACAGAAATAGTTTGTCAGACTATCAGATCATTTTCACATATGCAGCACACCAGAAATGCAACAAGCATTCATGTACTACCTCAAACAGTTCAGTGACTGCAAGAAGTTATGCAGAAAAATTCCATTTCATCACTCCTCCTGGTTCTTTGGTGTAGAAAGAAACATCGTCAACCCATGAAACTTCCCCCCAAACTGCTGTAATCACTTGAGTCTTTGCACTAATAAGGGGGCTGGGTCTATTTTAAAAGAGCTTCATTTGAGCAAACCATATGGTGACTTTGTACCTTCACTGCACCTACCTGCATAAGCTGCTGTTGGCAACACAGCATGAAAGTTTTTAATGAAGCAGAATCAGGAGAAAGATTAGCAAGACTGAATTAATGAGAATAAAATGCTGTGCGCTTTTTTTGATTCCTTTACCTGTAATTTCTTCAAAGATAGCATGAAACCCATCAAAGTTCTTGGATCCATCAGACTGAAAAAGAACATGGAGTGAAGTCCCAGTGCTTCGTATTGGAGGGGGCCTATCGTTGCCACAGAAGCGCTTAATTATCCTGCTATCTACATTGTCCCCATCACGGATCTCCACGTAATCATACTGGCACATGTAGTCAAACTCCAGGCTCAGCATGGCAAACCTGAGACAGAAGGACATCAAAATCAGATTGTATACTCTCACCTGGCTGGACTGCATTTCTAATTCAGTTCAGAGTCTACTGCCTGAGGTTCCTTTAGTCAGCAAGTTCCTGCCTTCCTAACACCCTCCTCCATTCATCTTGATTTTCACATCATGGGCCTGTGAAGCTAAGCCACAGGACTTTCACAACCTTTGAATCCAACTCAGTTTTGTCATGTCACCTCATGGGACAGTTCTGCAGTGCTGTGGTGCAGTTTGCATCACAAAATGATGGAGTTTATACAAAGGCATTATGACACAAAAGTAGATCCCCACAACATTCACTTTTTCATCCCCAAAGGCAAATTCTAAAGGTAGCAGCCCTACGTCCTGGGTCATAACTGAAAAGTGCCCTATTTTTCACACAGTAAAGCTGTAAGGGTACGTCTACACTAGCCCCCTAGATCGATCTAGGGAGGCTAATGAGGGTGACCGGAATTGCAAATCAAGCCTGGGATTTAAATGGCCGGTTGCCATTTAGAAATTGACTAGCCCGAAGTGACTGCCCGCATCTATACGCGGCAGTGAAACGGGATTCTGGAATAAAGCCCTGAATTGAATTAGGTGGTATTCCTCATGGAATGAGGTTTACCACCTAATTTGATTTAGGGACTTTATTCCGGAATTCCGTTTCACTACCGTGTGTAGACGTGGGCAGTTACTTCAGGCTAGTCAATTTCTAAAATGGCGACCGGACGGGAACATGCAAATCAAGCGCGGGATATTTAAATCCCGGGCTTGATTTGCAATTCCGGTCACCCTCATTAGCCTTGATCTAGGGGGCTAGTGTAGACGTACCCTAAGTGTTGAAAGAAACAGCACTAACCTATGAGGCTAAAAGCTCTCTGAAACCAACTGGAGGTGGATTCCTATGTTAGTTTTTTTCCAGCATCCATGCAAAGAAGATGATAACAGCTGGAAACACTAGAGGGCAGAGAGTTAAACTCTATTTTGGACTTTATTGGTGCTACTTAATGTCATAGTTTTCTGCATTTAACAACTATGGTGACAGGCCCCTTAAAAATAAGATAGAAAGGGAGGGGACAAAAATAAAACATTTATTTCATACTAGAAGACAAAACAGAAACTATTTGTCAATCGCCAGCACTGACAGCATTTGTGGGGAGGAAAAAGGGATAGCAGAAGGGAGAGAAAGCACATTAATAATATCTGGATGCCTTTACAGTAAACACTATGTATCTTGCATCAGCCATGGAGCAAGGCTCTCACTAGCTAACAGTATAATATACTGTTGATGCTGCTAGCAGATCACAGAGGCAAAATATTCAAACTGAGTATGAATGAAAAACAGACAAAGAGAGCTAATAAAAAAGAGTCTTTAGAGAATAAGCAATTGCCTGGGGAGCTGTGTCACACACCACCGTTCTGAGTAAGGAGTCGCAGCTCTGTGCCTGAGGGAACGCTTCACCACTAACCGCTCGGTAGAATATTTTAAAAATGAAACTTTTAATCTTCCCAATCTCCCTGAAAACTCTCAACTCTGTAGACCATGTTTATTTAAGGGATATAATGGATCAGACTGAGACTATCATGCTGCCTCTTCAAAGGTGGGCTGAAAGATCTGGCAAGCTAAGATTTTCTAAATGAAGAGAAGGGCAAAATTCACAGTCATTCTGAATGCTCAGCATGCTCGTAGAGACTACAGCTAATGTTCCCTGATTGGCCTCTTCTGGGGACCTAGTGGTTTCCGAGCAAAAGGAAGCCCGTGTTATGTGAAATGGCTGGTGCCCTGCTATCCCCTACCCATCAGACTAACAATAATACACTTTCACTTGTCTTCACATAGTGCTTATTTTTTATCACAGTAACAGCTGAACCTTAGCTGGTATAAGTCTGTTTAGCTCCATTGAATAAGCAATTGAATGGAGTTGTACCAAGTTACACCAGAGGGAGATATGGTCCTGCATTTTCACAAGGGTCTGTTGGAACATGGATTAGGAAAAAAATTGAATCTGCTTTCAATAGACATCAGAGATTAATTCACCTCAGTTTTATTTAAACTTCATGAGCAAGTTGGTGAATCCAAATTCTAGTTCTGTCTGACATTCTATTACTTACCCATGAGATATCAAGTTACCAGCATGACATCCTCAAAGCAAGCTGTCTTTGGCTGATCAAGCCCCTTATGGAAGCGACAGATTCATACAAATTAACCCATTGTCACACCCCTCAAGCCAGGTGAAAACAGGATAGACTTTAGGACCCCAAATCTACAAATCCTTATACACATTCTTAGCTTCCCTTACATCAGTTGTCCCATTGACATGACTAGACTATTCTCATGTTTCTATGAAGTTAAACATATGCATAAGTGTCGACAGGACAGAGTCCTAGGACCCATTTCTGGGAGACACCTCTGTGTAACCATGGGTAGAGCTGGGCTTGATGCATACTCGTTTAGAATTTCATCCATGCAGAGAGAACCTAGCTCTATAGCAACCATACTGATACTGAACCATACATGATACTGAAAATGCAGAAGAGTAACTGTCAAGGAATCCGATGCAAAGTTCTACATTGGGGCCACAAAATAACAGATAAATTGTGCAGAATGGTGTTAGTAGTTTGTCCCCTTCAAAAAAAATTCCTGCTAAAAATATGACTAAGCTAATTTAATGGGAAGGCTTGCAGGTTTCAGAGCAGCATTGTTTGAATGTAGGAGTGAAGTAGCTATGAGATGCAGAGGCCTCATGGCTAAGGTGCAGAGATGGGAGCTGAGAGACATGGCAGAGGATTTTCAGAAATCCTCCACATAGTCCTAACTAGGCTCCCAGTGGAGTCAACTAAGCACTTTTGAAATCTTGGGGCCTATTGCTGGCTAAAGCACAGTTATGGGCAAGTTCATTAACCTCAATTTCCTCACCTGTAAAAATGGGGCTATTTCCCCAACCATCCTGAAAATTGTAATGCCAAATTCCTCTATGGCTACGTCTAGTCTGCAGGCTTCTTTCGGAAGAAGCTTTTCCGGAAGAGATCTTCTGAAAAAACGTCTTCCAAAAGAGAGCGTTCACACTACCAAAGCGCATCGAAAAAGCAATCTGCTTTTTCAAAAGATAGCATCCACACGAATGGACGTTATCTCGCAATTAAGCTGTGATTACTATGGGCGGAGTGGCCACCAGGGCACCTGTGCTTTTTCCTCTTTCCTCTTCTTGTGAAAGAACTCCCTCTTCCCCAGAAACACATGCCTTTTTCTAAAAGAGCTCTTTCGGGAAAAGGCTTCTTCCTCGTAGAAAGAGGTTTACCAACGTCGTTTGTTCTTTCAATTTTTTTTCAAAAGAACGCGATTGCTGTGTGGACATAAGTGAAGGGTTTTTTCAAAAAGGCCATTTTTCTGAAAAAACTCTGTAGTGTAGACGTACCCTTTGTTAATGAAATGCTTGGCGCTCCACAGGCAGAAGGGGAGCACAATGTACCTTTTTGAGGAGATGTTATTAGGGAGTGCATTGAGAATATGCCTCTGGGGGGGAAGCTTCTCCACAAAGGAAAAGAACAATTACAGGATACATCTCTGTCAGAGCATTAAAGAAAACGATTGAGAGTTGTGTGTTACCTATAGTGCTGTAGCTCATCCCCTGATATGACATGGGACAAGGGAGCATGATAAATCACAAATTAAAGAGAAATGAGTCTAGAAAATGGACATAAAAATAAATTACTCTTGCAATCAGGGTGCCATTTATCAAAGCACACCCAGTCCAACAAATCCCCTAGGACAGAGGGGCATATCTCAAGTCAGGAGATGATTTATTTGTATTCTAGACAGCTTTACTTTTTCTGTCCTATAAGATTAGGAGACTTTATGAAACTCACTGCAAGCAAGCAATCTGCCATTTAAAGCCCCTAGTTGGGAGGCAGGGCAAGGAGAGAAATAAGAAGCAGCTGACCTCACACCAGAGACCAGCCCAGCACACAGGTGCTAGGAACAAGCTGATACCACTTCCCCACACTCTTGACTAGCCCACACTTTCAGCTGTAATATAAAGAAGAGCTTAAGCATGCAGGGGAAGAGACCAGGGGATGATATTTGCTGGTGAATAGGGCAAGCTGGCAGACTGAGTCCAAACCACAGTCTTGTTAGTGTTGCTTCTTATATATTTGTCTTGCTTTGTTTGGGAAGATAATGAACAAAGCCTTTAAGAAAGGGACAGAAACTCAACCTGTGTCTGACTGCAGCTGGTGACTCCCACCAGCATTTCCCTGAGGTGATCACACAGGCTGTGTCTACACTGGCACGATCTTGCACAAAAGCAACTGCTCTTGTGCAAAAACTTGCTGCCTGTCTACACTGGCCATATGTTCTTGAACAAGTAAATTGACGTTCTAATGTATGAAATCAGGGCTTCTTGCGCCAGAACTCTGACACTTCCACTCAGGAATAAGCCCTTTTGCGCAACTGTTCTTGCGCAAGAGGCCAGTGTGGACAGGCAATATGAATTTCTAGCGCAAGAAAGCCCTATGGTTAAAACGACCATCAGAGCTTTCTTGTGCAAGAGAGTGTCTACACTGGCATGGATGCTCTTATGAAAAAGCACATGCCAGTGCAGACGCTCTCTTTTGGAAGAGTTTTTGCACAAGAAGCTGCCAGTGTAGACGTAGCCACAGAGTTTGGTGGGGCTAGATAGAGACCAGGAAGCATGAAGTGCTTTTGTCGGGAATCTCAGCAAACCTTTTGCCAACAATTACTGTTCTGAGCTGAGATTAACAAAGGCAGAAGGAATCTGTTTGTGACAGTGGAGTAGTAACTGTCATGCACAGATAGCAGTGCCAGATTGGAAGGATTTGGTGGAATTGAAACTAGTCTGAGTCTTTGAAACCCAATGCCAGGAGCTTCCTCATCAGACTCCCTTTAGGACACTTTCATTGGAACACTGGGTCCCTGCGTCAAAGGAGGCAGAGGCTAGTACTGAGTTTGTAGAACTAGGTGGGGAATGGCCACAACAGAAAGAAGATCGAATCCGCTAGAAGGAAGCTCTTGCCATGTGTCCATTCAAATCAGTTACCTTGTATCCTGTAACAGCAGTAATAATAACAATTGCCCAGCTGTCGAGTGGTAACACAAATTTCCAGGTACAGCACTATCACTCCTGCCCCTCGGGAGGGCTGGGCCGGGGTGGTGTAGAGTTGTAATTCGTAGCTGAATTCCCATACAGCACATCCTACAATGCTCTTTTGGATGACCCCTCAAAAACAAATGCCCTGTCTACTCCGCCTGGAGATTAAAGGTCTCATTGCATTTTTGGCAAATGTAGAAGTTTGCTCTTATTATACTTCTCCTTTCTTTTTCGTACATTGTTGCTCTATGCCAATTGGCTGCCATCCTTCCACCTCAGAGATGATTGCATTTCATTGGGGATGTAAGTGTATAAAGCCCAATCCTGCCCCTACCGATATGATCAAAAGCAGGGCCAAACCAAGTGCTTTTGTGAAACACTTAGGCATCCTTAGGAATGAAAGAACCTTGTACATAAATATAAAGCAATATAATTTATAATCTTGTTGCTTGTTGCACAGAGTGAGCTACACCCAAATCCAATAAGGCACTTGTAAAAGCAAAGGCAATGTGTCTCCTCCCTAATAAGCATAACACAAAGCAGCCTCAGTCTCCCTGAATGTTATTCCAGATACCAAACTCCCTGTGTCATGTTATAGGCACGGCTATCTCTTGCCACTCCTGCAGAATCCTGCACTTTCTCTCAGGAGGTTTCATCGCTGTTAGAATGTTTGTCATTATTGTTGCTCTTATACAATATCATACTCACAATAGTGATTCTGAAAAAGGGACTGAGATTAACTTCAAAGCCCCCAAGTTTCTTTGTTATTGGGTGATTTTCCTTCTAAAATAATAATTAAAGCTCTCTTTAAATCTATGGTTAGGAATGTATTTGTGCACGTAACATCACTTCTTTGCCTGGTCTCCAGAGCTGGTGAAACATTGAGGTGAAGCCTTTAACTCATGTTTTTATTACAGTTGCTGGTAGAGGCAGACTCTGAGTACTTGCCAAGCTTCCTGCTGCATGCGTGAGCTCTTTGCCACACAATTGCACCATATCAAGATTCTCCAGTACTGGAAAAGAAACCCTTATGAAGGGCTGATGAGACCACACCATCAGACACAATTAAAAGGGCTAGACATGTAGATTGACAGAATAACTTACTGTACAAATATAGGCAGCTTGTAGGCATTGGGGATGGAGAAGAATTATTGGAGGTGGTACATGAGGACCTCACTAGCAACAATTATATGAACTTTAGAAAGGGAAAATGTAGGCCAAATATCAGGAAATACTTCCTGCCCATGAGATGTTTTAAAGCCTGCAACAAGTGGTGGATGCATCTTCATGGGTGGCATTTTCCATCTTCATCTGAGGGAGTTTCCCCTCGCTAATGTCTGTGATTCTATGAAGAAAATAAATGGCACATTGATAAGCATGATCTTCAGAGCCTCACCCATTAATTAATTGTGGATTGTTTTCACACAAATTCAGAGTAACCTGAGCCAGTTTCTCCTGGCATGGGCATTGCCCCAAAATACTCCTGAGTTTTGTCTTCAGTGAATCCATTCTACTCTAGCCTGGTGCTTCCCTGATGTACCACTGGATGCCCTGACCATAATGGCACCTAGAATATACATTGCCCTGCATGTCTCCAGAAACTTCCATAGTATCAGCTGGTGTTCCAAGCAGGAACTGAAGGCAGACCATGGCCCGCAGTGCAGCATTTGCAGAACTCCTGCTGGACAAGGTGCCTGTGACGGGGCAGAGGTGCCCCGCACTGAGAGCCCCCGGCGGACCGCTTGTCTGGCGGCGCTCGGGGGAAAGCCGGAGAGCCCCGAACGGGGCAAGCCGTGGCAGGTCACCCACGCAGCTCTTGCACAAGCCGCAAACCGCTGCGCCAGCTGCTCGGTGGCGACAGCGGTGGCATGCCGGCCGGACACGCCGGGGAATCCCGGTGACGTCACTGGGCTGGTGACGTCACCCGGCAGGCATAACGCCGGGCCGAAAGTCCACCCATGCCACGCCAGGCGAGGCCCCGCCGGCGAGCCATGGCGCAGTAACTTGCCTGACAGGTCACGGGCAAAGTGACAATACGGTTGGCTGGGACGCTGAGAGGCGATCTTAAGGGTGACGGGATGATGGGACTGGTGGGTGAAGGGGGGCACGTTTACAGTGCCAAATATAAAGTATCTCCCTAAGATGGGGGCAGTGCTTTTTTGTCACAGAGCCCCCAGACTTTGACCCACCTGGAGATCAAAATATGAACCCCATCTGTTATACATGATACTCTGCCTCATTCAGAAGACAGACTTTGCTGAAATTCATCTCCCACCTACCTTAATTCGATGCTAAACCCAGGTTTAACATGAATGGTCCATTCACAGTGTGCATTCAGTGGGTAGCTCTCCAGCAAAATCTGACCCTTGGAAGCCTGAAGAACTTGCCCGCAACCTGAAAAGGAAAAGTAGAAACATCAAGTGCATTAGAGACCTTCAGGCTCAGAGTGAAGGGGCCAGAATACACAAGAATGACAAACTAACCTCTGAGGCAACTCTCTGAATGACTAAAAGTGGCTACTATTTCATTTCAGCATTCAACAGCCTTCTTTTAAGCTTCTGTAGTATCACCTCTTCCCACCATGTTAATCATAGTGAAGGAGTATACTGGACTCATCTTTCACCTCCCAAAATCCTGCAGCAAGATGTAGGACTTCCCCAATCCCAGTTCCTTCCTACCCCTCCTCAAAAAGACTCCTCCCCTCAGCCATTATCCCATCCGTCCCCTTTTTTCATATGCCAACATGTGTATGTAGTAGAGAGGGGGGAAATTTAACCTTCGCAGTCTCCCACACAGCAATTAGTCAGAATGAGGCCCGCACAGCAGTGGCAAAGTAGGTGGAATACAGGAAAGTTTAGAGAGGGATTGCTGCCTCTAGAACACCACTGGATCCCTTCCCAAGTCATAGACCTAGATCTGCTTCTCTGCCCCACAGCCTGGGGTTAAAGGAATACTTTTAAAGCAGAGGACTGGAAGTCAGGAATACAGGCTATGACTACACTACAAAGAAAAGTCAGAAAAAGATACGCAAATTGCAAACCGCTATTTGCGTATCTTTTTCCACTTTCTTCCAAAAGAGGCTTTTCTGACATTTGGCCCATCTACACGGGGCCAAATTTCAGGAAAAAATCTTCTTTTGGAACATCCTTTCTTCCTTGTGAAACGAGGTTTACAGGGATTCCAACAAAACGCATCCACTTTTCTGACATTTTTTTGGGAAAAGCGGATGTGTTCCTTGTCTAGATGTACCCCCTAGCTTCTATTTTCAGCTCTGCCACCATGTATATTGAGCAGGTAATTCAACTTCACCCAGCCTTAGTTTTCCTTCTTATAGAATATTAATGCTTATCTCGGTAAGGGAATCCTTGTCAAGGATCTTAAAGGGCTTCACAAACATTACATAAGTGAAGGTGCGGAGTTAGACCATCACCCATCACACAGATCACATGGTTCCTAATTTCTTGGCTACATCTTTCCTGATGGAGGCCAACAGCTTATGAGGATTCATTCTCCTAATATACTGCTGGATAATTCTGACTGCATCTACTGTTCTGGGGATTGCACTGTGGGTAATAACATGTCTGCACATGGGGGATTATGGGTGGGCTGCAGACCAAGCCCAGGTGTGGTAACGGTTGGAAGAGGCCAACAGACTGCAGTTAAGTTGTGGGGTAGGAACCAAGCGATGTCCCAGAAGGCTTTTCAGCCTTCTTACTCCATTCAGTGCTCCTTTATTGAGAATCAATAAGCTTGACCCATTCCTGAACAGGGACCCTGAGCATCTCAGTGCATCCCCATCCTGGATGATGGTCCTGTATCTGTAAGTGGCATTGGCCACAGGCCATACTTACCTGGAGGACTAGCACGTGTGGAAGTGACCTGATTTTCACAAGTGCTGAGCTTCCATAGGCCTTAGGTGTCTGAAGTATGGTGAGAGACGTGGGAAAATTGAGAGTCAATTGCTTCTATTTCCTTTTTAAGAATAGCCAGTCCAATAAAACACCCTTTGTTGGTTTACCCTCACTTACTCTCAATTAAGTGGAATCCGATGAAACACCAATCCAGCTAATCACAAATGTTTCATCCTATACTAGACCTTAGTTGGTCCCTGGTATAAAAGGTGAAAATTAATTACTACACTCCTGTAGGCCCATTACAATGCAGATGGGATGCCAGAATCTGCTATAGTGCACACAATAACGTGCCTTCCCACAGCAAGGAGAGGGACCTACACTGTTACTGGCTCCTGCCTCAAAAACAGCCTGAGACAAAGCAGCGGGAAATCTTCAGATGGCTTGACAAGGTTCTTGGATCACCTCAAAGAAAAATTTCCTTTTGTAACACAGGCTTTTGGGCTTCCTTTGCACTCCTGCCTTTCACAAAGGAAAGCAAAGAAACCGGTGCAAAAGAATGCTTGTCGGGGGGGCATACTAAATGCACTTTTCTGTTTGGAACAGTACAGTCTGAACTTCTGACCGTCCATGCCAAGGAAGTAGGTTTGGCCAACAAAGCAGGTGGTCTGAAGGCTAAGAGGAGCCATTGAGAGAATTCCTTGAAAAGAATATTCTCAGATTTGTTTCTCTGCGTGAAGTACATCCGAGAGCAGATCAGATCTTCACCCTGCTTTCTCCAGCTCACCTAGCAGACATTGTGCTGCCTCTCCCCAGCAAGCAAACAACACCTCCATCCCCTACTATTCAACTGGAATCTTTTATCTTCCCCTTCTGAAACTGTGGGAGACCTGAAAAATTCTCAAGGATAATTTGTATCCCAATCACAAGTGCAGAGAAAGCTGGCTTCTTTAAGTAAAAAATAATCCACTTTGGGTTCCTTTCCTGTCTGGAAAAAAAAGCTGCTTTCAGCAGCACATAAAGATTCTTCTATGAGGCCTGAAACTGAAAGAAAAAAATAACTCAAGAGCCCTTTGAGTTGTATCCTATTATGGAGTTCATACTAGAGACATACTAGACATCTAGTCACAATTCAACACCTGTTGTTTGGATTTCCCAGCATCTGTGTGGGATTCCATCCAGAGCCAACAGGGGAGACAAAGCAACTATGAAGTCTTACATCCACTGGCATTCAGAAATTTGCTAAAGGGTGGCAGGAGTGAGAAACAGACAGATAGACTCAGGAAGGACTGGTAATGGTAGTCAGAAGCCTTCACATTTTGATCACTGCCATTACGTGTAGGTGAAGAGTGACCCAAAATTGTTTTCTCCCCACTTTGTCACTCTGCACAGCGATGGGCTTAATTTAGAGCTATGCTGCTAAGTAATCCAGCCTGTGATGTAAAAGGTGTGAAGATCAGCCATCTCCTCGGTACCATTTTTATTGTAATGGGAACACGCGTGTGTCTGAGTGTGTTCTCACCTTCCCAAGAATATTTAAGGCCAGGATTCAGACAGAAATGCATAGCCCTCGCCTTCATTTCCACCAAATAAATACTTTCTAAATCCTCATCAAAACAATCCAGTGTGGTAAGCAGGCCCCAGAGGCTGAAGTGCAGCTGTGTACCCTTATGCCCCATTTTGTCCTCATTTGTCTTATTGTTACTTAATATTGTGACTTCACAGCAAACTGTGACACTGAAAAGAAAAATCAATTCACCTCATTTGCTTATAACCCATTGCAAAGTCTGCTGCCTTCAGACATCAAAAGGAGCTTTTCAGAGTAATGGGCACCATCTAGTGAGTGGATTGAGATACTGCAGTTTATTTTACACCTCAGAAAAGAGCAAAGGTGGGTCTCTCCCCCTTGAGTCTCTCTCCTCTGCATGTTTTCCAATATACACAAGTCCCAATTATTCTGCATCTAAATGGGCCTCTCTACTCCATAGTGACGAGCCCTAGACTCTGTGCCCCTTTTGTGCTGCAAATAGGAAATGCTCTGGAGCTACGTCTAGACTGGCATGATTTTCCGCAAATGCTTTTAACGGAAAAGTTTTCCGTTAAAAGCATTTGCAGAAAAGAGCATCTAGAGTGGCACGGCCGCTTTTCCGCAAAAGCATCCGTGGCCAAACTAGACGCGCTTTTGCGCAAATAAGCTCCGATTGCCATTTTCGCGATCGGGGCTTTTTTGTGCAAAACAAATCTGACCCGTCTACACTGGCCCTTTTGTTCAAAAGAACTTTTACCCGAACGGGAGCAACGTAGTATTTCTGCAAGAAGCACTGATTTCTTACATGAGATCATCAGTGTTCTTGCGTAAATTCAAGTGGCCAGTGTAGACAGCTGGCAAGTTTTTCCACAAAAGCAGCTGCTTTTGTGGAAAAACTTGCCAGTCTAAACACAGCCTGGTAGTTTCATTTTCATTTCAACATGGAGGGGGGTTTACTCCATTAAATATGAAACAGAATAATACACTCAGGACAGACACACCTGTTATTTGTTTGCTACTGAATTTGATTTGATAGAGCCACTCCCCCATTGTCAAGCTTAATGTGTTCCAGATTTTTGTATTCACAATGCTGATCTGAACTGCAAAACTTTCTCAGGCATAGCTGCATCGGAGATAGTTTGCTGGTTGGTACCTGTGCAGGCATGGAAGGTAATTTAGAACCATAGGATGAGCACTTTGGCAGAATGTTCCTGCTCAGGTGATCATCTGTGAAACCATTGCAAATGGTGTCATTTCTACCTAGCTAAAGGTTTTGTACTGACATCTGTTGCTGCAGTATGTGTCATCTGTAGACTTCAGAGTCATCAGGTTCCTGAGATGCAGGAGGCACTTCATGCCTCTCAAAGCTGTAGTATCCAGGTGTCTGAAGACCTAGTAAGACAACATTGACTCTTCACTGGTTATGCTTTTTCCCTTCTCTGTTTGCTGTCTCTGAACAGTCAGATAGTTAAATGTTATCTAGCTGGTCATTTATACAGCCTCTGTTATCTTAGTATCTGAGCATCTCTCAAAGTTTTTAAAAACAAGAAATGATGATTCACACAAATGGCTGTGCATGTCATGTGTTAAGTTTGCACACTGACACCTGATTACTGGGAGTATTCACACTTGAAACCTGATTACAAGCATTACACTCATCCAGTTGGGAAATCGCCGTGTAACTTGCATGACCAATCACAACGACATTATAAAGTTAAGATTTCCAACATTTAAGTGCCAAACTGCAAGGCAATTTGCAAAAGAAATGTCAAATGATGAGCAATTTGAGATCAGCTCCCAGTCATTCTGCCACCAGAAAAAGAGGGGGAAGTCTATTAAACAAGTAAATGATTTGATAAGTGATTATTTGCTTGACTCGAATGGGAAATTACAGACTGCAATGTGATGGACCAAAAAACTGTAGCTTTAGAAAATTTTTATTTATTTTTTGCCAGCTACAAGTAAGTTTTTCTTTTCACACAGCAATCCACTCTCACTATTTTTCAGACAGTGATTCAGGAAATTATTCTGCTCAGGCAATCAGTAAGATTTAACCCTGGCACCTTTTGATTTAAAAACAAGCGATTCTTCCAGTTAAATTAAAAGACTAAGTCCTCTAGTCAGAAACAGACTCATAAATGTCACATGTGGGCCATCACTAGAGGGAGACAAAGGACCACACTCTCCAAACATAGTCTGCAATTGCTTTTTGAATATAATACTTTTTGTCTGTTGAACAATGGAAATTGTTCAGGTGTTAAGTAACTACAGGGTCTTTTCACTCCAGAATGCAAATGCTAAAGCGTCACACTAAAGGTGTGCACAGCACCCCAACTGCCTGTATATTTTAAATGTTCAATAATAGAAGAAAATGGATGTACCCCACATACAGAGGGTTGGCTCTCCATCCAAAAGGAAACATTCGGATGTGAGTCATGAATTTCAGCTAAGAAAAGGTTAGAACGGAAGTTCCTGTCAGTTCAGCCACAAGAGCCCCTCTTTTTTGGCTCACTAAGCAAAGCTGTTCCCCTTCACTGATGACCCTTGTTCAAGGCTAAGCTGTGGAAACGTGCAGATAATCAGCCATTCCTGGTGTTGGGAAAAGGCACGTGCTCACTAGAAAAGCATACACCAATGTTTACACATAGCATGGGATCAATAGGTCACATCTGTTTATTGATTATTTTTCTTGCTCTTCTTCAAATTCCCTTAGTCAACTGACGTCCTTCTACTAGCGAGGTGCCTGGAATGACTGCAATATTCCAGATGTGAATGTACAAGGGCAATAATAAGCAGTATGCACTCCATTCTGTTCCTTAATGGGATGCATCAGCATATACACAGGCCCAAAGCCCACTGACTTTATTTAGCCATCACAGCTGGAGTGCGGGAAATAGCAACCCCACTATGAAGGAATGCACAAGAACATATTGTTGTTGCAACACCTCCACATGCCCACGCTGAAGGCGGATGGCATGTCAAACAATCTTGCTGGAAGCTGCCACTGATGGAGGCATAAGGAGAAGAGTATGAGGAATTGGTGTGGAAGTATTTGCTATGTTGTTCTAAGATTAGGGATTCTTCACTAACAGATTGCTTTTGTCACCAGCCTTGAGACATTCTCTCATGAAGCCACAAGAACATGGAGTTGGGAAGCTCCCCAGGCTGATGGCTCCCCTAAAGGTTTAATAAATTAAATCCACACTTCCCTTCTTTGTTCATGTCATGCTTGTCCTGCTCTGTTCCTGACCAGTATCTCCCCGTCTCCCTTTATTTTTGTCTAAATCCAAAGACATAATATGGATAACAAGAACATCCAGAGTTGCAATAGTTAATGATTGAAAAACTACATCAGGAGTTTGGAAGGCTTATAAATATTCAAGCTTCCAGGTATAAGTCCATGTTTCAGTTAAGGGCAAGTAGGTAGTTATTCCTCTGAACACTGCATTTTATTATATAACTGATCCTGACAGGATTTCTTACATTCTCCTCTAAAGCATCTGGTATTGGCCAGTGTCACTATCAGAATGCTGGACTAGCTGGACCACTGGTTTGCTACAACATGCAATTCCTATGTTCCGATTAAGCCACTGCCTCACTTCTATCCCCTGCTCAGTTGTAGGGGATGTCACTGAGCGCACTTACTCATGCAGTCCCCTCCGTACCAGCCTGCTCTGCACGCCGCACAGTAGATCCCTTTGATATAGAAGTCGTCTAGCGTTCCACCCCAGGAGCCGTTGCGGCAGGACTTGCAGTTCTCAAAAATGGTGCAGCCTGAAAGCAGAATCACTGTGTTGAATGACATAGAGAAAGCTCCTATTAGAAGGGAGGGTTGGGGAATGGGGAGAGGAATCGGTTGGCTTTTCACAGCCCAAAAGAAGCTTATGATCTTTGTGGTGTGACTGTTGTGGATCTCGCCCATCCCCTACTGCAGCAAGTTCTAGCTCTTGAATCTGGATCTGAATTTGGCAGCTACCCTGTGTGTCTACCTCCTCTGCCCCCCTTCTCTGAAAACTCTTTAGGAAAGTGTGAGTTTGGCTGTTGGAGCAGTGCGGCTCCCTCCCTGCTTGTAAGTAAATCTAATTTGTTCTACACTGGTTCTCCCTCATCCTACCTCTAACTTTGCTTTATTAAGGGGGGGGGGGGTCAGACTTCAGAAAGCAGTGGAAAAGCAATGTACAAACCAGCTCTGGAGGCTGAAGAAATAAAATCCCCCTCCAGAAATGACCTGTGTGAAGCTAGTTATGACTTTACCTTGTGGAGAGCTTCCAGGCTTGCCCAGAGCCCCTGAAAACTCTCCGCTCATACTGCAGGGTTTTGTTACCAGGAATGGTGCTACATGAGCCCATATGCTGAGCCCATTAGCTCACACTGGTGCGGGAGCCACTTGCACTGGTGCAGATGGATTCCTGATGAGACCAAAAGCAACCCATGAAATCAGGCAGCCAAAACAGGCTGCCTGTCTATGCCCCATCTGGTTCCATATACAGCGACTGGCTGCACATGCTGACACATCACCTCAAACACAGGAGGTACAAGGGACAATGCTATAAATCAACACACCTGGGTGGATTAAACAGGAGTCACACTCGTTTTCCTCATTCCTGCAGCAGGGAATGGTGTAGCCCACTTTTTCTTTCCCGCCCGGACAGACGCATTGGATCTGGTCATATTCACAGCACTCCCGACACATGATATTCCATTCAGCTCCAGGGCAGTTTTCATTGATCACTGTGTATTCTAAAAACAGAAAGTCAGGTGATGGAAAAATGAGACATAAAATACAGAGAATTAATCAATTCACTAATTGTTGTTCGGTTAATAGTAAGATCATACATGATTAAGGGGTTGTCCCAGGCCTGCAATATGGCAAATGCCAATCATAACATATCTGATCCTGCCAAAATGTAAATTAGTTTGGGTGGCTAACACACAAATAGGCAGATTTGCATTGCCCGCCAAGGAAGCACTCATGCCAGAATGAAGGAAATTTGTCATTCCTTTTGCAGTCAGACTTCCCTGCGTCTGCATTCAGAAGAAGGGGAAAACAACATGAAGGGACGTTTTCACTTTAAAAATCTCAGGCCTTGTTTCCTACTTCATCTCCAATTTAGATTTATTCCCAAAGAATTTAAAATATCTGATGGCCCATTTAATGTTCCTTACATTTCATGGAGCTTGGAGAATGTAGAGTCCAAATGGAAAGGTCAGTTTCACTTCTGGCTTCTAGTCAAGTTTATTTCCTAGTTGCATGTCACTAGTACAGTGCTGCTTTTATTGCAGAAGAAAACCATTTTTGCCACTGAGTTCTTTGTTTGTTTGAAATTTAATTTCATGAAAACATTTCTAATTAGATAAGGATTTTTAAATAAATTTTTAATTAGCTTCCTGCTGCTACGTTTTGTGATTTAATCAATGCCCTTTTAAGAAACCACAGTCTGAAATACCTTGGAGAGTGACTACAGACTAACACAGTAACTCCACAGATCTCATCTCCCTTTCACCAGCACCCTGTCTAAACTCTACAAATTGAAATCTAATGAGCTCATGATGCTGTCAGCGTGTCTCTTAGCCAGTTGACAGGCCTGATGGCTTTTTTTTGTGGAGCCTGATGATCAGAAGTGAGAGAGCAGACTGGAGAGATGAGATGTGAAAGAAACATAATGAGACTTTTTTTTTGTTTTTGGCCAAAGAATATTCTTTCCCTTTTGTTTTATATTCTGAGTGATAGAATTGCTTTGTTATTGCAACAATCCAGACATTGCTATTAAGGAGCAGAACTCCCATCCATGTCTGTACCTGGCTTCCTTTTCACACAGTTCTTTTTTGAATCACTGTGCCTCATAATTTAATTATGAGGGCTGAGTTAACTCCCTGTAGGATTCAGTGGTAGATATGCCTCTCTCAATTCTCCATAGCCCAATAAAGCCTGATTCTCAGAAGGTTGTCTTTTTTCCTAATACTAGTTAGTTAGCACAGCAGAGGAATCACCTACATATTCTTGACTTCTGTATTTAGCTGTAGGCACAATTCAACCCTGGTGTAATCCCATTGCCCATTCCTTATGCCTTACAACTATCTAACTGCATCACAGTTCAGAGACTCCATAGATAGAGATGAAGTCAGTTTGCATTCGAAGCCTGATTGTTGCTCATATTCTTCCTTTCTACCATAAAAGAAGCAACTGCTGGTGTTTGGTAAGGTGGGGATTTGTTTGGTAGTTTTCCATTCCAATAATATAGTCTTGCACTCAAATCATAATAACACTTAACCCTTTCATAGCACTTTCTACTTATAGTTCACCAAGGGCTTTACAAAGATACATCCCATTTTACAAATGGGAAACTGAGGTATATGAAGGTGATGTGACTTTCCCCATTGTCCCAGAGCAGAAACAGTAGTCAAGAATTAAATTCAAGTCTCCTACCTCCCAGAACAGCAGGCAAACAACTGGACCATATTGGGATTACTAAACATATAGTGATACCTCTTTCTTCTGCAAAGGTATAAATATATGTATAGATTGTCCGGGAACTGCATTTTATACAGATTCCTAAGCAAAGTGATTACAAAGGTATAAAAATCCAATTTCACCTGTCCCTGCTCACTGCTGTTCACCCTAAACCAAGACTTTCCCCATTAAAACTGTTCGAGGTTTGACATTTAAATTCAGCACATCTCATCCTCCACCATTAAAAAATAGCAAAGCAATTAGCTGCTCTAGAAAGCAGCTCATCCCTAGTGAAAGCTGAACCCTGAACAAATACCCTGAAATTTAGAAGTTTTAAACCATTTTATCTAATCCTGTTCAGTTTCCAAAATCAAGCTGGAAATCCCATTGCCTTAAAAATGTCCAGTTCTTAGTGATAAAAGGATTCTATATCAGTTTAGATTGTGCTAATAATTTTACTCAATGCAACTGTTATAAGCGTGAATTAAACCAACTTGAGTATCTGCATACAAATATGTTAGTGTTTTTCACTAGACTGGTATCAAATCACACCTTTAGTTACTCCGGTGCCTCTAGCCAGCCCCACAAGCCAGATTTTTCCCTTTTTACTCATGTTGAAATCAATGAGTCTATTTGCAGAGTAAAGCAGTGTAAGTAAGGGTTAGCAGACTCTGGGCCCTTGAAGAATTGTAAAAATCAGATTTCCTTTTCCCTGTGTCTGCATTTTGCTCATTTCTTGCACTTAGCTGAGACACTGAAATGGGTTTTCCAGTGATTTATAGCCAATTTAATTCACTTTCTGGTTCTCATGGGCTAGCACAGTGCTGTAAAGTTGGGGGAGTGCACATGACAAGGGAATTTGTGGGTGTGACATAAAAACAATTTCTTCTGGATTTTTTTAATAATGGAATCGATTGTTCTTAGGTTTTGTACAGGGTTTTTTTTTAAAAAAAAAAATCTACATAAAGAGTTGACAGTGTGTCTTGAATAACTCGGGAAACCAGCTTGCTTTACACAGATGTCTCCTCACCCCGTGTAATAGAAGGCAAAAGAGATATTTTGCTTGGACACTTTAAAGTGGACATAAAAAAGAGAAATTAATACATATCAAAGCACATTTTTATCTTTAAGAAGGCTAGATTGAGACTTTACACCGGAAAATGGATATTCTGCTTCAGGAGGAGTGCCAGAAAGAAACTGTGACTCAGAGAAGCATAATTGCTACCCTTTTGCTTTTTGGGGGGTGGGAGGAAGCATGCCACTTCATCCCTTTTGGGGACTCATTGTTTTCCCCTGGTCATCTTTTGCCTTTGCTTTAATACTTAAAGAGAGAGGAAGAAAAAGGGGAGGTGGGATTTATTGGTGGAGTCAAAGGCAACAAATTAAAAGCTGGACCATTCTGAATCATGGCTAAAATATTTGCGGGGCAGTTAGTGGTTTGACCTTACTAACAGAGGCACCCTTCAGAAGAGGAAGACTGACTTTTAGCCAGCAGCTGTATTTCCGGAGAGGGTGAAACATGTCCAGGCAGAGACTTGAAGTGACTCTAAGAGAGACTGGGTTGCAAAACTCCCCATGTAAAATATTTATCGGACAGATGAAAACAAGAACAAGCAAATAAACAATGGGCTACTTTATAAGGGTTTAATGATGAAAAGGCCATTCCATCCAGGCACAAACTGCATATAGGAAACTAGCTCCAGGTCATGGAAAATGTGAGCAAAAAATTAGCAATGTTATTAAAGAATGTAAATGGTAGGGGGAAAGTGTTGAAGAGTGGGTGGGAGTAATGGGCTGATTCAAGAACATGTCAATGTAGTGTGGAACGTGTGACCTTTCAGTAACCGGTTCAAGTCCAGACCTGTTTGGTGGTGGCGAGAGGGGGGGCCTCTGATTTTTAAGAGATCCTCAACCTAGCCTCAGATATTGTGAGTATATTTCCAGGTCTATCTCCATGGCCTGCAGGTTCAACAAGGTACTGAGATGTTTGAATCCTTTCTATTTGCACTTGCGACTACTAGTAAACATGTTATTGCACCTGTAGTGTTGGGGGCCGTTATGGTTCATAAGGGCCTTTACCATTCGATGGTTTGTTCAGTTCACAATGGAGGGGACCCAGCCTGGCATCCACAGCTCACTGTGTACGGTCAGCCGTCACACCAGAAAGCCCAAAGACTCACTCGCTGGTCTCACTCCTTGGGTGGTTAGCCCAAGCCTCTGCTAGTGCCACAGCATTCACACCGCTGTTTTTGGCATGCCACCAGGAGCCCTGCTAATCCAAGTCTGTCCACCGAAGCTGGAGGGCTCCCTCCCACCTACTTTGTAGACCTGGCTGTCAAGGCTATTGCAGAGTGGAGTTCAGTTTAGCTTGTGCTGGGAGCTAAATTGCTGAATAGGAGAGTCATCATTTCTGTACTGATCCTTGGACTGGTCACTGTGAAATATGCAGGCCTTTAGTCTTGGCTTCTTTTTGTCTCTGTAAAAATGATGTTCATATTCCCACTTATATGCCAGGTATCACACAAGGCTGGCACAGCTATGAATCTGGGCCTTTGCACAGTAGCAGCTCCATGCCTAAGCACAGACCTGTAATCTCCTTTCATTAGCACCCAGTGCTCTCTGCAGAATGGATCCACAGCAAGTCAAGTCTGATGAATGCTCCTTGGCTTGTCAGCCTCTGCCAGCATTTATTTTTCTTTCTTACCTATGATTCTTTTCTTCCTTGGTACAAATAGACTTATTTCATCTTCACCTTCCAAAGAAGGCGGCTGTCCCATCCCACCGAGCGATCTGCTTATGCTGCCCAGCATGGTGTGCGGCAGAGGAACTGAAACAGCCTGCAATTTGTTAATCTCAGACATTGCCTTGACAGAAGAGTGTCTGTTTTCCTCATCACTGGGATGATTGGGGCATACGCATGACTCACCCAGCCACCTCCCTGCCAAACCTCAAATGCAATCCTACCCCAAACTGCAGGACCTTGGAGAATGAGGCGATAGAGTCCCACAAGAAATTATTTTATTACAACTCAGAAAGTCCGAAAGGTTGACAGAACTATTGTTTGCATTTCAATGGAAACACCAACATCCAAACTGTAGCTTTCACCACACCCTTCTTGAAGAGCTGGAAACCTCTCCAGAGAGGGGTGCAGTCTCTCCTTGCACACTCCACCGTCCTCCCTTCCCAAAATAGTTCTATGTTATTTCTTTAATTTTTTTAAAAAGTTTTAAATGTTTGCATGGACAATAAGGTTTCACTCAAATAAGGAGAAAGTGGATGGGGACAGTGA